CGGTACTGTATGAACTAGTTACGACCGACAGACTCCACTTTTGCACTCCAAAAATTTAAAATCATGAGATATTGCTTGAATGATTGTTAATACAAGGTGCACCAGAAATACCCCTCTTTCACAAACCCGATGGCCAAAGGAAGTTGAAGTAGCCTGAATGGAGTTTAATGACAATATCCTATAGATGTATCAGTTCAAATTAGAAAACTAAATTAAAACAAAGAAGCCTTGTATTGTTTGTTTGGCTTCGTCAGATCTAGATAAAAAGAACCACAATAATACGAACAGTTTTGGAATGGGAGTGGGGTGGAAATAACAGAAGGGGTTAGGGGTGAAAGCGGATATGAGACAGAATTGTAAATATAAAATAATAATAAGAAAATGAATTAATTCTTCCTCTAAAAGTCAAGAATCAGATTTGGTCACATTTCCAAGAGCCTGACCGACTCGAACTCTTTCAGATCTTTTCACGAAGAACTGAAAGTTTGGAGGGGCTTCAAAGATCAGAACAATCGTGGAACCAAAGTTGAATTCTCCAAATAGTTCACCTTTGGTAGATTGAATGGGCTTGCCAAAGTGGAGGTCTTCGTAGCCATCCATCCTGACGATAACAGGCATTGAACCCTGCTCACAAGCAGAGTCTGGATTGTTTGATCCCTTGACTTTGACACCTCGTTGGGAGGTGAAAAGGTAGCGAAGATAACTGGGGAGACGATTGGTGACAAGGTTGGGATCGGAAAAGACGTGGATACTGCCTACATTGGTCGCTCCCACGGCGACGAAGGCAAAGAAGCCATGAGACCAATTGCCCATGTAGACGGCACGTTCGTTGATGCAGAACACCCCATTTAACCAGCTGGTTACGAGGGAGCAAACGGAAAAGAGTCGGCCTACAAAATTAAAGAATAATTTACTAATAGATAGAATCAGATCTACGACTAAAAGGGGGAGAGCAAATAAGCGTCATCTTGAGTTACTTTCGCCACTATTTATTGAAAATCAAATCTAAAAATTTAATTAAAAAATAGGGCAAAGTAATAAAATCTGCTATAAAAATAATCCACGTAATAGCCGCAAGCCAAATTTGATGGCAAACAAAATCTATACACGCAAGCTATTTTTAGATTCCGGTCGCAGTGGTAGGCGGTATGCTTCGCGTTTCACCTTCAAAGGAGGAAGGCGGAGATTTCCAGACAAGCAAATCTCAAAGGACTTGAAACTGAAGACTACATGATGAAGGTATATTAGTGAATAGAAATGAAAGATTATATGGTATAAAAAATTTTATTGATAAATTGAAAGATAATAGATAACCCGTCGACTGAAAGGGAGCAAGACCGATTGTTGGATTATCCACCAAGATCTATCACATTTGCTAATGATTCGAAAATGATCAATCACTGGAAGAGGATACCTTTAAAAAACACTAATGCAAATAAATTCTGTTAGCTTAAGCACGATTTTCTATCGGATGCACAAAGGTAAATTGGCGATGCAAGCACTCTTCAAATTCCTAAAAATTAAAAGAAGCCAACTTTCTTATGACGATTCGGAAAGTTCAAAATTAAAAGTAAATATTCGTCACTAAAGCAAGTTGAAGCCCCGAAAACCACGAAGCCCTTTGTATTAAGCGTACTTTTAATATAATCTATAAGTACAAAGGTCAAGCCCGTGAAATTAGTCTGTTTATATCTCGAGTTTGATAGGTTGTCAGCTTACCGATAATAAGAAGTATGTAAAATCATTATGCACTTGACAGTTGGTCTAGATAGAACGAATGGAAGAAATTAATCTATTCAGTGGCAGTCCAACCCGCAAACGTCAGTTTATAGAAAAAGAGTTTATCCAAACAGCCATTCGCGTCCAAGTTAATAACTGAAATAATTCTGCTTTTCCATACCTACTGAGTGGATATTAACCAATATTTGAGAAGCAGAAAGATTTTGTACTTGTTTTCCCTCATTTTGCTCGACCTCAGAAAGGGAAAAGAATTTCCATGGAAAATGCAACGATGGCAAGAAAAAAAGCTTCTCCTTTGCAGCTTAAAGATTGCGCCCCTTTGACAAAATTGATCAAGCAAAACGCTCTTTCCCCACTACTTCCAACCTATATTTTCTGTAATTCTTCAAGACCCTTCACCGATTCCTCTTTATTTATAACCAAAAATTTGTTATTGTACTTTGTTTAAACCTTATTTGAAAAGATAAATAAATGTAACTACATCGGTTCGATAATGTTTTTAAAACTATGGGAAATCCTGTACTTCGGGTAAGACATGTTGGTATACATTAAGTTGAATTCGTTTCATTTGCAACAAAGCATTAGTACGATAGAGGAGTTCAAATAGGGTGCATATAATGAAGTGGAAACATATGACAACAGACCGCTTGTCCTCTAACCATTATCTGTTGTCTCAAATCCTTACCTAATTTTCACAGTTGCTCATAATTCAAAGCAAAGCTCAGCATAACTGGCTGCATCACACAAATTTACGAAAATGTCATCAGATCTTGGCATTTTCCTAAAGACATTTAAATAGCTAATTAATTTGATTAATGGCAATTGCAATGCATATTTTAGGTAGGAATTCAAAGGTGAGGAATCCCATGTGGGTACAGCTACTTGAATAAGGGTTACATCGTCCCATTGCAGCAGAAGGTGACTTTCGTGCAGAAATGGATGCTTTTGGTCTGGAAAAAATGTAACTCCCACATTATGAAGATCGTAAGAAAATGAAATAATTGCAAAACTGATCTGTCTGACTCAATTTACTTAAAACACCAGATCATTATGCGTCATCTAACGTCGCTTCATTAAGAATATATCCTGCTTGTGTACAGACTGTATATATTTGTAGAGGGTGTAAGTTAACACTGAGGGATACTTCACCCCCCCCCCCTGTTATGAGCAAGGATGAAGACATACCAGGGAAGTGCCGCCTCATATCAATTTTCCAATCAGCTGGTGAATGAAAACAATGATAATCCCCAGGAGCGAGATAGATGGCACAATGGTAGAGGTGCTTCACAGGCTCTTCTGCATCAACCAACGAAAAGTCTCCAATGAACTTGTGCTTCCGCTTGACTGCTTCCGCTGCTGTTGGAGTCTCAGTCTCACCAGCAGCTTCCTCCTCTCGGCCCAAGACGTCTAGACGCGAGGGAAGGGTATTCACACGACGCATTCGCCCGTAATTCTTGTGACGAGCAAGGCATGCATGAGGTCCAAGAAGAGCGCGAATAGTGTAGGCTAAGCCTTTCACTTGCTCCAAGTGGCCCTTTTCGACGCGACCGCAGGAGATTACTTTGCCGTCGGCGGGACTAGTCTATAAAGGGGAAAGCGGTTATAATTAAAGGTAATTACACATATAAAACTTACTGCATGTCACATAGAAGACTACTTGGTTAAAATTTAGAGAGATTAATAATATTATCGAATTCACACGTTTATTCCAGTTTGACATCAATTATTACGGTGTTGTGATGGGCATATGAAATTCGAACGATACGTTTTGGTCAAGGCTAGTAAACATGTCGGATAAGGCAAGAGGGGAACAGTCAAATCCCCTATTTAAATTTAAAGTCAATTTCCGAATCTTTATCAACTTTAAATCGGTTCACGATCCATATATTTACACTTATCCTAACTCTCTTTTAACTACTGCCTTGAGAAACCTATTTTATTGCCACTATGAAGACAAACGGAGTAAGGTGAGTGGTAAGAGTGGCGAAATTTGAGTTCCTCAAGAGGAAGGCCTTTTGGCGTTACAACTCTCCCAGAAAAGAGTGTTTGAAAGAGCTTTCCAACGTGGGATCAGCAGTTATTTATTAACCAAATAGTTTTCAAAAAGGTCGACAACGAAAGCCAGTGGTACCAGACTGCAATTTCGTTTACGTGAGAGGAGTGTTTTCCACCTGATCGTAATTTCTGTGTGTTTAAATGAAAACCAATCGTGGTGCTTGTATTGGCGTTAAGATATAATTAACAAGCTCAAGGTCAAAGTGGGATCAGATGTGAAAAAAATAGGTCACAAAAATTCAGTTGTAATGAAAAAACAATTAAAGTTCACGTGAGCTCTTACATAGCTCAATTGGGTCATTTGGCAATATTGAATGTGAACTAATCAAATAAACACAAGAATTCTTAAATTTTGGCATGCTGAAAGTAATTAGAGCTAATTAGGTAAAATGTGGTAATCTCAAAACAGAAATAAATATGTCTGTCAGGGAATTACCTCGATTAAAAATTTCCTCATGCTACCTCATATTTCACAGAGCGTCAAAATCAAAAGGGGCAAAGTTATAAAAATTCAATACTGTTTACTCTAGAAATATAATTCTCTAACCTCTTCACTGCATCTAAACGGCACTTATTATGCTTATTTCATAAATTCATTGCTGAAATATAATCAAGGCCATTCTTGACACTAATCCGTTAGTTAAGGGGCGCGTTTGAGATAGGACAAACCAGCTAATTCGTCACAATGCACACCAGTGAGAAATCGTTGTCTTGTGAAACAGATAGAAGGTAAGTTTGTAAGGGGGTAAAATCTAGATGGACCTAATGCTTAGCTCTGGATTGAAGTAATCGCTTTTTTTCTCATTTGTGACCGGATTCATAAACCATACCCCCCCCCCTCCCCCCAAGAAAACAGTGACATTAAATTGTCACCTTCAATAAAATCTGAAATATTGAGCGAACTGAGTTGAACGCGATCTGTTGTATGCATTGCAATTTAACTAAGTTTGAAGTTACCGCTGCGTAAATCTTTCCTCGATGTAATTCAATGAATTACAAATTTGGGGGGAGGGGGGAAAGCTACGAAATTAAAAATTAAGGAGAACTCACTGAGGGCCTTTTCATCCAAATTCTATATATATATATATATATATATATGGACTTCAAAAGATTTTTTCTCAACATATTCTTCAATTTCGCTCCCTAAAAAGATGAATTGATTATCTAAAATCTTCCGCTTGATTTTAAGTTAATGAAATTAAGGATGGCCACATAAGAAGACTAGACATAATATTTCGTGATTTGGTTTGTGCGACAGACCTACCTCCACGTGGTGCATCCTAGGCAGCGTATGCTCATATGTCAAGATTCGATTAACCGGCAGTTGACTTCTGACTTCCAGCTATCATCACCCCAACTGTATGTCATATTCGACTACTTCCACAGTATTCACCTCACCTTTTTTCTACCTTTGTCTGTCTCTTTTACATCTTTGAAATACTCTTCTATTCCCCCCCCCACCCTCCCGACTTCTTTTCGATTTGATGTTCCTTCCGCTCTGTGAAGCCTGAAGTCAACTAAAGGGTTAATAATAACTATCAAAACGCCTACCATTTGATATAAATAAATATTTCGTGAACTTGCCTGCCATGAAATTTGCTTACTTTAACAATTTTCACGCACAGGGTTAGTTCGTTCAAAAGTTGGTAAGGAAGAGAAAAAAACTTAACCACTGACTTTCATTCTTTCACTTCTTATTGCAGCTGAATACAGCCGCTCTTCTTTGCACTAAACTTGAAGAACTCTCTTCCAGTTCTGTCAAGGCCTTTTTAAAACCAAAGTAAATCTGACGCATTGCGCAGAATTGTAGAAGTGAAAAACAAGGAACTTTAGTCGTTGAATCAAAAATATATCGTCAAAAAAGTTGACGGAATGACTTTTAATACAATAACAAGCACTTTTAGAGTGCTTTAGAGATCTCTCACTGAATATTTCAAAGTAATTAAGCCGCTATAGACATCCTTAGACAGTCAAATTACATAAATCGAAAATGAAACGCTAGTACTTTTCTACGAAATAATCCTATGAAAAATACAAAAACAAATAGTAATAATTCAGAGTTGCTCTCTTATTATCAAATTCATAAAGAACAATGGTATATTTTTAACAATGTTTATAGACAAGAGTAATCAAAATTTTACTTACTATTTTTGGGTGCAATGAAACAAATAAATTGTGTGGTAAGTTAGCTGCTTTCTTCTAATGCTATAAACTATGGTGTTAATTTCTTTTGAACATCTTGGGAAAGAATATCAAGAAAATCTTTCATCATCTGTTCCTAAGCTTCATAGTCTAGTGATCTTATTAATTAAACGAGTCGACGTGTAAATATCAAATGATGTGTACTTTTAACACATGCAAAAGTGGTATCCTGAGAAATTTGTGACCTATTAGATTTTCGAAAAATATGACAGAAAGGACGATTCCGGCCAGATTTTATCTCGAGGCTCGTAAAATTTGTAAGGAAACAAACAGTAAATTGGGAAAAATAAAAATATTCATCACACCAAAACATGAGAAATTTTACTTTAAACCAAACTAAACGCGTTATATTTCCTTTTCAAATACAAAGAGACGTGGTTTAACTATGGCTTAAAATTAAAGACAAATTCCATGTAGTAGGGTTCAGTGCTTGAGAAACGTTTTTTGGCGAAAATAATACCAGCTTTCATCCAAACACTACATTCGGTGGCAGTATTTCCCCCATTAATTTCAAAAAGAGTCCAGTAAGAATATAGTATTCTAACTACTTTCTTTATGTAAAGAGTAAGCTTATTCATTCTCCCTTGTGGGACACGTCATCGCATGCCTGCACGCCAGGATTGGGAGGTGCGACCGTACAAACAGTGACCAATCATTAACCTCTGTTTGTTTAACCTAATCCCCCATCCTGATCATGATTAAGCTCCCTGTGTGTACACTTTATTCGCAATATACGTACTGAATAAACGTGCTCCGTGCTACACGTCTGTTTCCTCCATAGCTGGGCTATAGCTTAGCTGGTTCTGGGAGTTGGAGAATCTGCCATGGAGATTCCTGAGTCAGTCAGGCTTTAATAAAGTAGCAATCCGCTACACCCTCATGGATTTGAACCAAAAGAAATTCTTCTTGCGTATGTGATTATTCTAGTGTCGAAAATTGTGTCATTTCGTCGACAAGATTGGCCCTATTAAAAGTAGCGACCTAGACGAAATTTAGTCTAAATTTGGCCAATAATCTTTACTATGGGAGATGATTTAAATACCGCTAAAATTAGTGGAATAAATTTCAGTATAAACTCCGCACTTGAAGGAAAAATATTAAATCCGAGATGCTTCTCGTTATCGTGCTTGAGATTATGATTTGAAGAAGAAAATGTGCTTAAATATTAATTGCTGAAATATTAATGCGCAGCACAGTAGCCAAAATGCAACATGATGGCAAAATAAGGACAAAAGTAGTACACCCAGTGAACCAATATAATTATACGCAAAATACATCAATCAATACAGCTGAATACGTTTTGTTAGGAGAGGACAAAACAACTTGAAACAAAATTCATTTTCCTGTAAAAATTGACCTAAAAACAGATCTGATTTTTGTCGAATTGTTTGTCTGCTATTAAGCGAAACATATTACATAGTTTATACCAATAGAAAACGTATGAACTACAACTTCTATCATGTATTTGGCACTCAATAAGTTCAAATTTAGTTGAATACTTTCATAGTTTGAACGACTTTAAAAGAATTTTTTCAACTTTGAAGTCGTATTCACAAAAATGTTGTATGAGGACAAAATGCGAGAGTGGTTATTTGAATAAATAAGAAGGTTCTTTCGGCTTAGGAAGGCCTTTTGGATGCCAATTCAACGCTTTCATGGGCTGGTCATGGTGTGTGCGACAGACTTACCTCCATGTGGTGCATCCTGGGCAACGTATATTCATACGCCAAAAAAGTCAATGAACAGGTAGTTGACTTCTCACTCAAAACTACCAACACCCTACTGTATGTCATATTCGACCACTTTTACAGTACTCATCTCACCTTACCTTTTTCTCTATCTGTGTGTCAGTTAGCTCTTTTACATCTGTGAATCACTCTTCTTTTCCCCTTCTCCTCCTCGACTTTTGTGATTTTGATGTTCCTCGCTTTTGTAAAGCCATCATAAAGCCTGCCATTTGATATAAATAAATATTATTATTGCATCAAATGGCAGGCGTCTTGATGGTTATCATTAGCACTTTAGTTGACTTCAGGCTTCATAGATGGGAAGGAACATCAAATTGAAAAAGTCAAGAGGGGAGGGGGAACAGAAGAATGTTTCAAAGATGTAAAAGTGACAGACACAAAGGAAGAAAAAAGGTGAGGTGAGTACTGTGGAAGTAGTCGAATATGACATATATTGAAGTGATGGTAGTTTGAAGTGAGAAGTCAACTGACAGTTAATAGACTTTTTTCCCTTATGTGTATACGTTGCCCAGGTTGCACCACATGGAGGTAAGTCTATCGCCCACCCCATATAAATAAATATTGGGTATTCATTAGGTGAGCTCCAAGGCTGATTAAAGTCAAGCGTTTTAATTTATGCTCCTACTACAACGTATATTTTTGCAAACTGTATTTTTTAATTATCTCAAGTGGTTGAAAGAATTTGATTGAAACTTGCGGCATTCTAGATTACAAATAACTATTATCTTTTTTTTAACTGTAAAAGGCTGAAGTACCCTAAACAGTGCCAATTATCGACAACTTTGGAGAGACATTATTTAGGAAATTTATTGGCATAAAATAGATCGCTGTTCAGTTTTGTGAATGTGAAAAGTTTTTTAGTAAAAGGAGTGGTAAGAAAGCACATTTTCATAAAATTTTAAGTAAACGAGTCCTGATGGACTCAGAGCGCGCAGTTTTAAGTATGGCTCAATACGAATAAGATTGAAAAAGTGCCTGATTTTTTCAATATGTGCACCGATGCCATAGAGATACTTTAAAAACCTATTGGGAAACATCATTATGTGTATTTAAATTTCGGACTTATTCCCATTTATGCCAATCAAGTTAACCTGATTTCCTAGTCCCCTTCAGTTACTTCCGTATTGGACTAAGTTATGAATATAAAATTCCCTAGAGTATGAAATTTCTGAGATAAATTTGTGTAAAAAAAGGTATATTCTTTATAGAAGGGGCAACTCCTCTGTCCTTATCGTATCTTTAGAAATGGAAACAATTCCAATTTTTATGCCTCTTGCAGTGGAATGGGCTAATTATATTAAGCCCGATCGGAAGAGAGATGGCGGAAGATATTCAGAATAACTTCTCATAAATGTAAAGGGGAATCGGAAAACAGTTTCTTTTTATGCTCTTGAAAGCATTGTTATATCACATTTTACCCCCCCCCCAATTTCAGTATAGCCACTGAATTTTATGGTTCAAAACCAAAGATAAATCTGGATCAAATTGAATACAAGTTAGTGAAAGAAGACCTTACTCACCAATAATGGAAAAAGTGTGACCTCAATCATTATCTTATGTATTTCTTAGTAATCTAGGGCACTATTTTTCAAGCACTTTACTAGACCGATAACTTGTTTAGTTATCTTCCAAGAAATGGATGGACGAGGAGTTCTTGCCTACAACATTCAATACGATCCTAATATGTCGAGTTTAACGAATACAAAATGATATTAATGGTAAGGGATACTAGGCAATATCTAATCTTTTCGCTTATGCAAGAATGTATTGATTTTTGTGAACAGATCTCGTGCTAAGGCACTAAATTTATCATTCCCTGTCCCTTAGTGGTGGCGTTTGGCAATAAGGCTTCTTCATTGTCTAGTGTCAAGCCCACAGTCGAGTCTATTCATAAACAAAGGCAAGTAAAGAGTGTCAAGTAACCTCCACACTACCTCCGTGTTTTGAGGTGTCCCTAAAACACTGACGGCCACTGGACTAACATCGATTTCAATTGAGAGAGAAAGGTGAATCCATTTCTGGTGTAGTATATGTTTTTAACTGACGTAAAGGTCGGTGCTGCCTTTTATTTCTACTTTTCCCAATCACTTAGAGAAGCAGCAATAAAGTCTTGAAACTGGCAAATAAATGCGTGTTTTATAGTGATTTGGTGAAAATATTGCTTGAAAGTGCATAACTGAATCACAAAGTCATGATTAAACAAAACTTGAATCCAAAAGTATACAGTAAAATACGTTGAAGTATTTGCAACAACGCCTTTCAAATATAAACCACTGGTGAGAGTCGTAATAACTCAAAGCAGTTAGGATGTGAAAGCAATCATTTTGCCCGTTGAGATATGAAGAAGTGACACATCTGATAGCAGTTCGCTTTCTTGGGTTCTCCTGATTCCCGTATTCTCAGTCCATTTCTTCTAAAACCAGCATTACTCTCGCAGGCTCTCAAATGATTTAGGATTTGAACAAAGCTGATTGCCTTGTCCTTTGAAATAAATTGTTGTTTATATAAATGAATTGAAACTATTGTACGCATTAAACCCAACGTGTGTTTGCCCTACCTTAACTGTTCGGGAGGGCTATATCTTCCACTCGTTAAATGGAAAAAGGGAGTTGTATACCTTGTTGGTCGTCTTCAGAAATAACAAAATATATCAATGCAATTGATTATGAGATATCGGTCACATGAATCCTAACCAAGTACTACCTTCAATAATTTAAAATTTAATTTGATTTTTTTCTTCGTAGAACCCAGTTCTTTTAAATTACTACATTCTTTACGCCTATATAAATGCCTAAACTTATGCAAGTAGAAAATAAATTAAGAGTTCAGTCTAATTGGTGGTCAGTACTTTGCGTTGGCGAGCAGACCTCACCAAAATGTAATTACTCTCCAGCCAAGGCAATTCTGCATTTCGCATGAGATGAAGTCAACAAATCGATTGGGGGAGGAGAGAGAGAGAAGTGTGGCAACAGCGTTGTGACAGTGGTAGCAATTTTGCCGAAAATCAACCCACTTTCATAACTCAATATTCTCACCGACGGTGAGAGTTTACTCAATGCAATTAAAGTGGGAAATTTTTTCATTTATAGCAATGCCTTGATTCATGAAATACTTGGCGAATTTATAGTTGATTCCCGAGCGAAAATCGTTATATTTTTTTGGCAAGTGGTTTGATGACTCAGACTATCTGTACAAACAGTAGCAGCTTTAGGCAACAGTTAAAAATGGGGAATAGTGAATGCCTTTGTGTGTGCGTGCTTTTTTCAGCAGGTGAGGATTCAACCGTAAATCAAACGATAATTTAACACTGTAAATTAAATTAAATTGATTAAGGGGTCTGTAGCTCCCCCCCTACCACCACCACCACCCTGTGGTTACAATTTAGCTAACTATGGCGTACACTTTCATTTGCAAGCAGAAATACTCGCAATTGTGAAATGTGAGATTTCTAATGCAAATTAATTCAAATCAGCATCAGTCAAATGTCTTAGCTCGCCTGTGTTTCATAGATGTGGGGAAATGAAAATTTTAAAGTTCAAGAGGTCATTGGAGCCATGAAAAAGAGTTTTCACTGGTTGATCTTACCTCTTTATTTCAGAATAGCGTCCTGATTTAAGTTCGTAAATTCGTGGCACTATTTATTACCACGTCTAGTGAAAAGAAACAATGAGTGTTTGTCAATTTTTAGGCGTCTGTGTCGCTGAAATAGTATCTTCATTTAAATGTTTCCAAGTTCGTTAGAAAGATGTATGCATTAGGTTAATTAACACTTGTCACAGTTTCGTTTTATTGAACTTCAGTCCAATATACAGGAATCATAAGTAAACAATATAAAATGTGAACGAAACAACATTTCGAGTTCAATACTGGAGATCTTCTAGTGTAAAGGACATCGAATGTGTGGCATTGATAAAAAAAGAAGTATTGAAATGTGCTAACTTGTGAAACCAAACGCATGCTTAAAACTTTTAATACTTACTATGAACTATTGAATATTCAGTATGTTGTCATTAGTAGCAGTCTGAATTTTCTACCTTTAAACAAAAATATACTATTACTTAAATTTTCTCTTTACACACAGGATCACTTTCATTAGCTCTCAATGCAAATGGAAGAAAATTAATTAACCTAGTGACCTTCACAACTACACAAAGTCTGGGTTATCGTAAGTGTAGAAATAGACAGAGCTGGTAATACTCTCCTGAGAAAAGAACAGAAATGACGCGACAAGCGTTAAAGCAGTAAGCAGAGATGGGCTTACTCACCAGATGATAGTTAAAGAGAGGCAATGAATAAATGCCCTGGTGCTCATGATATGAGTCCTCCACAGGACGGTATGTGCGCAAAAGGGCTAAAAACTGAATTCATGTCAAAATAACACAAATGGGAAATTAAATCATTAGTGGTGACAGTAATTGACTTGACCTCACGGAGACCTCGTGAAGCAAGAATGAGAAATTTCGCATCTTCTACCATCTATGTTGACCAGAATGTAGCAATTCAGTAGTTCTCATGACCTCTACTTTGATAGACCGCTATTGCATTATCAAAGTCGCTCAAATTAAACGAGTGATTGGAAACGAAGGATTTAAGTCTAAGATTTGTGAACGAAATAATCCACATGAAATATTACATCGAACCCTATTTAGGCGCATTTAAGTCTACGGAGCTAGATTTTGCTATTACCATTACTAAGTGAATAATTCGTTAATTACAGTTGAAGTCTTATGGTGAAATTCAGTTAACTAAGCCAAAGAATGTCAGAAAATAATATTGGCCCGTATAAATTTGTAGAGCGGAGAAACAGTGCTGCCAAACAAAGAGAAGTGAAGAATTGTCGTTAGTGCGGAAAGCTGTATTAGTAGTAATATCAGATTGGGACCAAGTCTGGATATCTGAAGTGGGTGGGAGTGAAGGATATCAAATTTTAGTTACCAAACTGATACGTTAAGCGCAAAGCAAATAAAATGAATACAACAAAACACTATGGAAACACAACAAAAAATTATTTATTTTCTAAAAATTGAGAAAGTATTAAAACTATAGTGAAAATACCAAACTCAACAAAGCATACAGATAGAAAAAATGCTTACCTAAACTACGCTACAACCAAACAAGTTGGGGAAGGTCGAGTTTCCACTAAGTTACAATTCAACCAATTAGCTTCCAGCCTCATGACAATCGGAGTTTAATTGATCAATTTTATAAAATTATGGGAAGTAACTCACCAAACAGGCAACTGGATCTACTGGTCGGGCACTTGGAACGAGTCGGCGTCGAAAGAATTGGGATATGCTATTGTATCTAGCCAAATCATTATGGAATTCAGCTTCTTCTAACCGGGCACTAAAGATCCAAGCATATGCTCTTACAACAGGTCCGCGAAGAACTCTAGGAAGGGGGACTCGAGTTAACTTTCCAACAATTCTGGAGGTGGTGTTAAGGGGGAACCATGTATATATTCCATAGAGTATAGCTGCTAATATCCTCCAATGTAAGCCGACGTCGTAGTCATACCCACCTTGTGTTTTCTGGCACACATCAGTATGTACATCTTCAAGGATAACATTTGGCCCGAGATTCGGATCACAAGTTGGACTTGGGGTGGATAATTTGTGGCTTTGTGGATCCCTTTTAGGGGTTTTCACCTGAGAAATATCAATTTGAGGGGGATTCCAAACAGCGTTGCAAGGAAAGGAATCATTTTCTGCCATTGAAACGTATTAATTTGATAAAAATCACCGTGGCAACAAAAGGAGGCATTTACTAACGCCCCAACGTCAAAGGACCATGCATTGCCACTTGTGATGCTTTGGTAAGTGCATGCGTCTCATTGGCTAGCCTCTGGAAGCACTACATTTTTACCACGTGTGGGATTGGTGATTGTAAAGTTAGTGAACTGACGTCACTCAATGGAGGAGCCAATTAGACGACAGCCTTCGCATGATAGGCTTGATGCAAACTTTGTTTACCCAAACTTTTGTTCTTCAAAACTTGACGTCATGTGCGGATATTAAATCCTCGAATCTTGCCGAAAGTACTGAATTCAGATATTTATAAAAGACAACTTATTTATTCGGCCATTCGATAGATGTAACAAAACGCAGTTGTCAGAATTTCGTGAATTTCGATAAGCAATTTTGTTTGGTACAATACTTGTAATAAGTTCTGGATAGTTGCAGTCATTTTTCTAACGATACGAGTTTTAAAAGACGAAAAATCAGCTAAAAAATTTCAGGTCTTTTCAGCGCCGATTTAACTATTTACAGATCGTTCGTCAATATTTTCAAGACTGCTATTATCTTGAGCATTAAAGACACATTTGAAAATGTTACAAAACAATAACGGTTTTAAGATGGTCGTAAAACTGTCCTTATGTGTTGACGTCAAGTTTATTGAATACACTCGTACACCGACTGCCTGATGGTTAGCGGGGTTTGGTTAGCACGCAACCACTTCTGGGAATGGCCAATAACGCTAGTTAACAATGGTAAACAATGGAAAGGCAGAAAGCCAAAAAATAGAAAACATCCGCTTTTTCCAAGTCCTGTTAGAGTCTAAAAGTTTGGGGAAAGAGAGAGTTAAAGTTGATTGATGTACTGTGTCGAGGATTACCCATAATCGTGCTTACGCAAAGTCAAAAGTTACAACCCAACTATTTTCTGGCAGGGGTGTGCGATAGACTTACCTCCACGTGGTGCATCCTGGGCAACGTATACTCATACGGCAAAAAAGTCTATTAACCGGCAGTTGACTTCTGACTTCAAATTACCACGACCCCCCTGGTTGTCATATTGCGAATAAAGTGTACAAGTAGAGAGCTTAATCATGATCAGGATGGGGGATTAGGTTAAACAA